CGTGATTTATTATTGGATAGTTTCACGTGATCGAAAAAATTTTATTAGTATTTTGGTGGCGATCCAGGGGAAGTTTGCAAGTAATGCTTTCTCATAAGCACACTACACTTTCTACGTATACTTGATGAAGGGATTATTGTAGAGTGTCAGGCATAATAATCTTGGCACAAAAGTTTCATCTATTTTTATTAACTCTAATTTTATGTATTAAACGTTCTTCATATTCTAAAACTTCCTGTTCGTATTAGTATTAAGAGAAAGTAGTTTCTAGTTCATTATCAAATTTGAAATATGGCCCATCTTTTTTTTAAACCGTACGTACGTACACGTACTATAGTTTCGTAGAATGGTGCAAATAATAACACATGTCAATATGGGAATTCATAACCATTTGGCGCTATCTACGTAATGATTTTTTTTAGAAAGGTAGTACCGGTACAATAATTATTATTATGTACGAATCATTAGATATTCAAAATGTGTTGGAATTACGTTCTGAATTTGCTAAAGATACTGTAAATTCTCAAAATACCGGGCACCTGCGCGTTATTTCGATCACCTGCGTGTTGTTTCGAATTCGTTCATGTGCGTTATTTAGAGGTAAAAGGGTCAATTTCAAAATTTTGATTGTTAATTACATTATAAATCCACTGATATGTTACTAGTGTTTAAAATTCGATGTTCTCAGTGTTCACCGAGAACATTACACGATTTTTGAGAACATAAATTATTAAAATATGTTCTCTATTTGAGAACATTCAAAATTTTTTTAATATGAAATGCGCGTTATTTTGGGACATGCATGGGCGTTATGAAAATTATCAATTCTATTTTTAGGGGACGTAATTTTAGAAATAACGCCCATGCTCTCCATTTCGGGAATTTACGGTACTCTTTAATGCTGCATCTATTACAGTATTACAGTCAAGCTTTACTAAGTGCACACTCTCTTGGGACCGGAAATAGGCGTGCATTGAGAGAGTATGCAATAGTATCTATTACACAATCAGCCAATTAGAAAAAAAAATAATATACACATGATTTGTATAATCAATCACTTCTATATTGGATTCCCTACGTACTCTTTAGCCAAGATCGATATCTGATACAGTATATACGTAAATGCCAAGATTATAATTGAAACAAGAATTTTTTAAAAAATATATATCATAGATGTAATTTATTATTATCGTTATATACGTAAATGCCAAGATTATAATTGAAACAAGAATTTTAAAAAAATAAATGTCGGATATACGTATAATTTATTATTATCGATACGTATTATTATTACTACGTAACGTGCTTAATGCGTATGCGTACGTACGTATAAAATTTAAAAAACATAACAATGTGTAAACAAAAATACCCTGATCACTATATTAAGATCACAGTAAAAATACCCTGAAAATCCGCATGTGTCACAGGTTGAATCAAGATCCGCCAAATACTGTACGTACGTACGTACGTAACCTGCTGTATATCTGATATCAGCAGCATGACAAGCATACTGATAAAATATCGGGAAGCCAGATCGCTGTCATGTTTCCGATATCGATCTACCTCCCGATATCTTACATATCTTACCAATATGCTGCTGACAGGTATTTTAGCTGATCTATGGCAGATTATGTTACATATCAAGAAAATTGTCTCCCGGTATGTACCCGATATTCATTGGTTCAACCTGTGTGTACAATCGGAAACGAAGTTTCCGCTACGTATCCAGTGGCTCAGAATATTACTAAGTTTTTGAACATACGATTGTCATTACCCCCAGTGTTGGCATTTGGTGTTTTATTAGAATTTCTCCATTAGGAATATTAATCTACTGTATATAGTATAGTTTAATAAATAATCGTGAATTAAAAATTTTTTTTTTCTATTTGTTGTGATCACTACGCGACAACAGATAGTAACAAAGAAAATTTCGTAATTTTAAAATATATAGTATGAACTTGAAATTTCGCATAAAGAAATCCCACTTTTTATGCGTATATTGAGCACAATATAAATTATATATTTTATTTATTAAATTTTAATCCGGAAGCTAATTTTAACCTAAATGAAATTATTTTAGATTTATTTAAACATGTTTTACGAATGTTTAATACAATTTCGAGATATAGATTATAAAGCTTACAAAATTCGAAAATTATACAGTAACACATTATTAGGCTAATTGAAGATTTTTATAAGTACAACTTAGTAGTGTTTTTTTACGAAAATTTACACAATCTAAAATTATTTTTTTCTTAAACATTTTTAATAAAATTACAGACGTTAACGTTATCAACGCTCACGTGATATTCACCCAACGTATTTATAAACAAATAAAAATAAATCCTAGTATAATAGAAACAAGAACCCAAATCAAACTTGAATACTTGGACCAATTCACACTTCCTGAGTTTTGAGGTAAAGCTTGTCCATTATAAACTGCAGGATCAACAGTTGACACCGAAGGTGGTGATGATGTAGTTGTTGTAGGACAACTAGAGGGCTGAGAACCAAAAACAGTTAATGGAGGATACCCTACGCCAGATGTGAATGATATACTATATGAAAAATGCATTTCACAATTATTAGGATTCGACACAGCCAAACATATTATATTTGTAGTATTAAAAGTTTGTGGATTAGGAGAGCAATTAAGAACAGCTGTATCAGCACATGATAGAGCAGCAATATAGATGTAAGATGCACTGTTGGGATCTCGAAATTGACTAATACCAGAAAAATTTGTAGCGAAAGTCAAGAGACCGAATTGAGGGAAAGTAGGAGGTTGGTGTGCCTGCACAGTTAAACCAGATACATCATTTGCAGCTGCAGAGTTCGGTACTACTGATATTGAATAATCTAAAAAAAATAAATAAATAAATAAAGATATAAAAAAGATGGGACGGGGAGAAATTTAGATTAATAAAAAAAAAAATACCTATATAATTCGTATTTTGCTTACTACAGACAAACCAACCAGTACTAGCATTACTTAAACTTACAATACCACTATCTGTGTCTTGAGCATAAACTAATAGACCACCCTATTAAAATTTAATTTAATTATTAATTATTAACGTTAAGAAAAAATATAGTTTAATTTAACTGTATGTAATAATATAAAAACAAGGTTATACCTGTGGTGCTATCAGCAAAGCGAATAATATAAGATTGATAAAATTTTGTAGCATTTTATCTCTCTTTACGTATATGTACGAAAAAGGACATTAATTAAAGACATATAGTAAAGTTTCCGTTATAGTGAATTGCTTTTACTTTATATACAAAATTTTATGTTACATTTTATAACGTGACGAGCTAAAATTATGCAGGTGTGAAACATAATTATAAAAATAGAATTCTTATAGAAAAATCACTAATGCTAAATAGAGAAATAGAGAAGAGATAGATGATGTCATCTGATATGTTATTGTTATGGTTGTGTTGTAGAAACATAGTAACCATATTATTGTACAGATCTGACGTACTATCCCATGCCAGTGAAATAAATGAAAAGATAGCACGGGTTGTTACATAAGACCCGTCGTACGATAAATATATGAAGGTCTGTTTTTCCAATTTAAATCAGCCGAGTTAGATCAGTAAATACGAAACAAATCCTATTATGTTTTAGATGGTCGTTACACGGTACATGAATTTCGGATCCATATGTCCGAACCTATCTACGGTATTAAATTGCTTGTGCATATCTTAAGATCTTGATCGACAAGATATTTAATAATTATATTTAATTCTACTATGGTTAATTTGAAATTTAGAATTCAGTGTGATTATATTCATGACAGTGACGAACATGAAAATCCTAGCCCTAATGTTAGTGATTAAACAATTAAAAAGCCAATATAAAAATTGACGCAAAAGTTTAAAAAAAATGATGTTAACATTTGTATTATGTGGAACAATCGGATCTGATTTTAGAAAATGCACTGCGCCATCGGCTATTTATGACAATAAATGCGTTTTTTCACACTTTATCCGCACACAAAAAATGTATGTTACGTATTAATAGGTTTTAAACGGCGCTTAACAAAGAATGGTACTTATTTTTAACGCAAAATAGTTTAGCCCTGAAACAGTTTAGAGTTTCACTCTTGGCATGAACGTGCATGAGTCCAATGAATTAAGTTGATATCTTGATTTAGTAATCATTGAAGGTTCAAATTTAGTATTTAAGGATATTCACAATTTCAATTTTTTTTTTTTTTATAATCAGATTTCACACTTTTGTATCATACAATTATAGCATTATTTTCCATTTTCCTTGTATTATTTGATTTTATCACCCTTATAAATTTTTCTTTATTCGGTTTTATTTGTGTATATATATACTAGACTTTTTTTTCAATCAGTTACCTGCTTTACGATTACTCTATAAACTTTCGTTCGATACGAAAAGTTTATTAAATCGAAGTGCCATTTTTATATATCATTATACTAAAATCATAACTAAATAATAATAAAATATAGCGATTTAATATAATCAAATCGGTATTTTTATTGATGAAATATTGGAAACTAGAATGATTCTAAACTTGCTATATAAGGTTGTCTTAACAGCTTTTTTGGTAGTTGTCGAGGTTCGTTTTTATTTCTAAATTTTTTATTCTTCTATTTTTTTTTTTTTTACATGATTTGCTCATTTCTTTTTTTTTTGGATTACTATAGTGTATGCCAATATTGGTTTACGTACGAGGAGCAGAACCGTATAATGGCATTGGTAATTTACCCGCATCTAATACTTGGTATATATGTAGTGCAGATAATACAAATTATATAGGTGCGTATACTCATTTAATTTTTTTTTTAAAACAAGATTTGAGTGAATGTATGTGAGGCTAAAAAAAATGTCGATTATTGGCAATACTTTAAAAAATTTTTTCTTGAACTTCTATTTGTGATCCATTATGCTTTCGTGAAAAAATAAATACTATAAAATGAAATTTATATTATTCACTCAAATTATATTTAATAATAATCAAATCTTTTCATTAATTAATTTAATTTTCTCATTAATTTAGAATACGATGTACAACAAGTTAGCAATGGCCAACATGAAACTTCTAATTTTGGTACGGTGGTTAAAGGCAACCCTCCACCTCTATCCCAGTATCAACTTGGATTACTAACTTACGTCACAAATTATACCGGTCTTCAATTATTCATTAGTCCTTCACATCCAAATTCATCTTTTTACAGTAATGTATCGTGTTGGCAAGAACCGATGCTTAGATGTTACCAAAAAATAAATCCACTATTTCAAAATAAGGACATATTATGTTTAAGTGTGGTAAATCCACATGATGAAGGAGTAAAGTTTAATTTTTCAATTAGTTTTACTTCTGGTGTTAGTGCAATTTCTCCCACTCCAGCAAGTAACGCAATTAGTACGACGAATTTTCCCAAAAAGGCGGCTACACATACTGTATCACCAAATTTTATGGCTAGTGGTGGTGATGGTAGTGGAGGAACGGGGATATGGTGGGTTTTAATGGGTGTCGGAGTTGCCAGTTCGATATTTACGTTTTTGTTATCCTAATTTTTTATTTTTTTTTGGGTTATGACCAAAGACTTTAAAAAAAACACCAAAGTCCACCTTTGATAAATTTTTTAATCCCGTCATTCTTCACAAATGCTTTGTCAAATAATCAAAATTGATTCAATTCTTCTTTGTAATATATATTGAAAATTTTTTGTATCTTTATTCGTTGTAATAACTTTGACATCTTCTCACGTTCTGTATAGCTTTTTTTTATTAAAAAGAAAAAAAAAAAATTATTTAATTGAATGTTTTAATTTGTTTTGTGTTTAACTTAATTATCAATGCATATGTATGCATAAAATTAGCATGAAAACACGATCGTCAAAAAGACAGTATATTACGCGTAATAACGAGTCACATGTAAGAATCTATAAATATTAATATTAATTATATTTTTATTATATAGCATACATATTAAATAAAAAATAAACAAACGTCTACACCCTATTACATGACAAATACCAATAAAACAATGATATATAAAATTGAGAAATACTACGTTAAACAATGTTAGACTACGTTAAACTACGTTAAAGTAATTATATTATCACATTAACCCATAATTCCCTTGATACACCTATATCCTAAATGAATAAATAAATACAATGCCTAAAAATTACCTGAATTTTTTTTTTTTTTTGTTTGAAATTAATTAACCTTCTTTCTTACAACATTCTTGGCGAAATTCGATATTTGATGCCAACCTTGTCGAATCAAAGTAACACTAAGGATTGCCCATATAAAATTAACACCAAAGAAATAACCCCAAAAATAATATGCTTCAGGCCTACAATGTGCTGCACCCTCCATCAATTCTGTTAAATAATATAAAACTAAACCATAAAGCTGACCTAAAGATACTATAATTTGTAAAGTATAACGGAATGGTAAGTTTTCATAAATTGCATATGCGGTAAGAAAGCTTAGTGGACCCCAGCAAACCTATAATTAAAGTATAATTAGGTGTAGGTGGTTAGATGGTATACAATAATCATAAAACAATAATAATCATAAAACAATAATAATAATAAAATAATAATAATAAAATAATAATAATAAAATAATAATAATAAAATAATAATATAATAATAATATAATAATAAAACAATAATAATAAAAATGAAATATAATAATTAAATAATAATATAATAATAATACTGAATAATATTAAAATAAATAACTATAAATACATACTGCCGTAATGCTTTCCATAATCACGACAAAAGGGTCACTAGTTAAATATCTTGAGTCACTCAACGCATATTCTTTCCACATTTGTGCAAATAATCCATTATTTTCCGCGATATTTTCATGATATAATGCAAAATATCCTTCAAAAAAGAAATGAATAGATCCTGTTATGATAAACCATAAAAAAATTGGCTTGTGGTTTGATTCGACCGTTTTTTTAGGAATGATTACTGCTAGGGATATTCCTGATATCACAATAAGTCCGATAACAAAGCTTATTAAAAGAACTGCTGTTGAGTGTGTTGGCTCTGTATAGTTGGTAAGCTATTGATATTTTTCGTAATAGTATAAAATTATATATAAAAATGGATAGCCGAAAGATGACCAGAAATATGAAAAAAAATATGGTATGTGAGAAAAGTCGAAAAAATGAGAAGATGTTACGTAGCGATTACGTTAGTCATCAAGCCATTCATCAATCTTTTTTGGGAAAAAAAATAACCAATAATTCTTATAACCTTAAGATCGGTTGGATAATAAGGATGTCTCGTTGACAATACTTTTTCTTCTTCAGGTTTCGAGAGGAAAGATAAGATTCCCATAGTATTGTTTTTTGCCTTAAGATTTCTTTTCTTTTTAGTTTTTTATTTTATCGATTTTTTTAAAATTAAAGATGAGAAAAATGTACAAATGTAATTCTTTTACTTATATATACTTCCGTATATAAATCTTGTAAAAACTTAAATAGGAATTTAATGTTACAATTATGGCGGGTCCTCACAAATAGAGGTACTTTATTTTCAGTGTTCCCATGAAGTAATATTTTTCATTCTATTAAACACTAGCGCTACTGTTACGTGCTGTTACATGTTACGTTTCTTTTTAATTTAATGCGGTTAGTATGTAGCCAATCAATAGATTATTATGTATACCGTATATTACACATCACATATATATAAATATAATAATGTAATGAATGGACAATTTCTTTCAAATCTCAGAACCTCCCAATTCTAATTAGTACATTTCTCCGTGTTTTGCCTAGATTCCAATTCCGCATTTACTTAAATTATGTTGAAATTATGATGATAATCAACTTCACTACGTGTCGATAATAAAGTGGCTTATGAAAAACACTGGGGCGGGAAATTTCATATAAGGTTGACTTTCATATTTCATATAAGGTTGACTACTAACTGAACGTGAACAAATTTCTTTTTTACTTACGTATCACGAATTATATACTCTTAATTTAGTCTTGACCCAGTTCTACGGGTGTCAAATCAAAGAAGACTGAAATAGGACACGTTAATGCAAGTTTCTTTAAATGATGCATTCCGTAATGCAACATTATGTTGCTTTATACATAATGCAACCCTTTTTTTTTTAGTATGTATTATAATGCAGGTAAGTAGTCAATAGCATAACACGTCATTACCTATTATTGGTTATCACACTGAAATTAAAATTGAATGGTGCTTAACTGGATCACGAAATATCTTTATTTTAAATATATACATATACATATTTAGTATTAACAGTATATAGATTTTTAGAATGCTTTTAGAATCGAACGATTTTTATATTCGATTTATTGATAATACTTTAAATTTTTATTAATACTTTCATGGTATTTTGACACAGAAGTGTATTGTTAATTTGAGACCGATCGCTTAATATATTAAAACCTGTTTTAAACGTGTTATGGTCACCCTTATCAGAATTTTATACGTGTCGTATCGATCAGTCGCAGTCATTCGATTCTGATCACTGAACACCATACTATAAATAAATAAATAAATACAAATAAATTAATTGCTATATTGCTATATTATACGCATATAGTCATTCGAGAACTCGATTATAAGTCGTTAAATCATACAAAACAAAAAATAACACTTTTATTCCCACAGGGAAATAATTCGGTGAATCTCCGGCAATATAGGGCCCGAAGGGCTCTCAAATAACCAGGGATTTTTGCTTCCTATTATTTTGTTATATCATTATAGACTACAATTGAATAGAGTTTACACAAGAAAATTTTCTTAAAATAGTAAATAGGGGATTGTAAGTGTGACGAATCTACACAGGAAAATTTAATGACTCAATCACGGATCAGTAAACGGCAATCAATGACAATTTGCAAGAATAAATTTCTTAACCGTAATCTCTAGTATAAAAAATACGGTAAAGCCCTATAGAAACAATTGATTTTAAATTCATAATACAGTAAATATTAACAGGAAGAGATAACTTTACTGCTTAATTTAAAGATTTGATTTCAACGTAATGCTTTTTTAAACTTTGTAATACATTTTTACTCTTTATAAATAAATTTAAATATTATAATAATATTCAAAATCGAACATTATTTTATTACTATTTTTATTTTTATTTTATTTTTTAATTTAATATGGATATAGAACATCTGAGATTAAAGACTTAAGAACAAAAAAGAACAAACAAGATCAAAGACGACAACTGGATTTAAATATAAAAATTAATCCACTTGTTATCGATGCTCAATCGATGATGAAGAGAAATCCTTTTGACAAGCAAGTGATGATGATGATGATGATTATGAAAAGAAATCATTTTGACAATCGATGATGAGAACAGTGTTTAAAATTCAAAAAAAAAAATCACATGCACAGTATTTTGTGCAACTTTTTTAAAAAAATTTTCGTGCACACTCAAGAGATTTTTTAAAAATCAAAAAAAATCAAAAAAAAACCCCCGTGCACATGTGCATGCCAATTTTAAACCCTGGATGAGAGTATTAAATTTACTAAATTATAAAATTAATTATTACTATTCAATTCATCAGGATCTGTTAGTTCTTGATGACGTAAAGCCTTGATGAATCTATTGTTATATTCTACCATATTTCTATACTTTTTCCTTACATTATGGTATGGTCGTCTTAAATTCATGCTAATTATATTCCATCGCTTTCCATGCCTTTTAATTTCATTAATTAATGCAGCACATTCTTCTAATTTCCAACGTCCAAACTTGAGCTCAGGGCTTGCTGCATGAAACCATCTTTCACGACATTGTGATGCTGTTCTTCCAATTATATTTCTAGAAATATTTTCCCAAATATTTTCTGGTGGCCCTCTATATTCTTTCATTTTTTGACGAAGTAATTCATCTTCTTCTCGTGTCCAATCATTGGGATTACGATAATGTCTCCAATAATTTAATAATTCAATATTACTACGATTAGGAAAATATTTCTCTGATATGTATTTCCAATTAATTCTTTTTCCTCTCCATAAAGGACACTCATTAATAATAACATGTTTTAAAAGTTGTCGTTCCATTTCTGAAGATCGTTTATATTTAATTTTATCTGGATTAATTATCTGCCATCTATCTCTACACATATTTGGTGTTCGCCCTTCAATATGTTCTGCTACTGTTTCCCAATCATTTCCATATTTTATCACTATATCTTTGAGAACTTGATCTTCTATTTCATCCCACGTTCCTTTCCACTTATCTCTACATTGTTCTGGACTTTTTCCTGGAAATTCAATCGCTATTTTACGCCAGTTAACATCATTAAATGATTGTTCCCTTACAAGACTCTTAAGTTTTTTGACTTCATCAACCATCCAAATTACCTTTTTTTTTTTATTCTCCTTTAAATTATCTTCTTTTTGTTCTTTCTGTTCAACTTTTTGTACTATATCTGAAATTTTTTTGTAACTTATAGGTGCAAGTTGTTTATTAATAACTGAAAATCTTTGCATGTCAAGATAAAGATCCTTACACTGTGTTATTGATTTATTTTGAAACTTTTCAGATATTTTTTCCCAAGCTGTTCCATATTTAGATACTAGTTTCCAAAACATTTTTAGTTCGTTAGGTGTGAAGAAAAAATTTTTGGTATATGACCAATCTATTAATACTTTAAGTTTTCGCCAACGGTAAAAACATTCTAGTGAATTTCTTTTACATAAACCACGAGAAATTACACCCCAATGTTTAAAGCCACACATTATGGCGCGCCTTAAAAGTATATTGTCTTCTAAAGTAGTCCATTTCTTATGACGTCCCGTATTCAAGTTATAGTCACATCTTTTATAATCGCAAAAAAAATATGGTCTTGTACCTAAACTTTTGAATCGGGAATATAATTTCATTTTATGCTACTGACGCTAATGCAGTCGTTGAATTTTAACTCTTCACGTGATTACATGATTTTTATCGTTATATCGTACTGTTAATAATATAGACGATAAACGATTATCTACAATAAATAAATTATAAATCATCTATATCGATATATATCTGATATAGGATTTTTTGCCGATCATCACAAGGAACTAGTGTTTTTGTAGTTAATTTTCACGTTAGAATAAGCAAATTAAAAAAAAATGCCTCTGTAGCGTTATTGAGCACATCAAGAGGAATCTTTATCTGCGTAAACATGCTGGTTCAGGGATTCGAAATTCATATTATCTTTTCGAATTTCGAAAAACTTGCAGGCACTAAAAAAATTGTTTATATAGCACATTAAAAATTATGATTGTTATTTCACACCCCATTCAATTATGGTTTTTTCAAATATCGATGCACCCGTTCGTATTGGTTGTTATAGGTATTTCTTTAGCGTTATCGTTAATTGTTACAATTATCCGGATTATTTGTCTTTTTCTTTAAAAAAAAAAAATTAATATTCCACTCTTATTAGCGCATTTTGGGGAGATTCTGTTACTGCAGCAGAACAACTAGTTAAAACGGAAGAAGACGCGTTAAATTACTTGGTTGGTGATTATCTTTCTGGTAAGCAAGTATTCACAAAGGTTCTAATATAGTACTATACGTAAATTATTCTTTTTTACACTTTTGACTATTAAAACTAAATTCTCAGAAATATATTTTAGAGGTTACAATAGGCTTACTTGCACGTAGTCGTAATCAAGATCGTAAAAGTTTAAAGGGTGCAAGTAAAGGTGGTTATATTTCCGAATTCCTCACCTATGTTCTTCGACCTTTACTACACGATATCATCAAATATAACATTAAGGTAGTCACCAATGCCGGAGGTTTAGACCCTTTATCATGTAAATTAGCAATTGAAGATTTAGTTAAAGAACTTAATATCGAAGAAGGCAAAGTAATTGTTGCCGCGGTTACCGGTGATGATATTATAGACAAAGTAAATGATAGAAATAATGAAATACTTAACTTTACACATATCCAAGAAGATTCCGAAGATTCTAAATCATTTTCACTTGACAATAAAAAAGTTATTTCATTTAACGCATACTTTGGTGCCATTCCAATTGTTAAAGCATTAAAATCAGGTGCTAATATTGTTGTGACTGGACGCTGTGTGGATAGCGCGTTAGTACTAGGTCCATTAATTTATGAATTTAATTGGGATCCTCATAATGATTGGGATTTATTAGCTTCTGGTTCATTAGCTGGGCATATTGTAGAATGTGGGTGTCAAGCAACTGGTGGTAATTTTACAGATTGGAGACAAAGTGCTTATTCACTTGGTGGTGGATGGTATAATATGGGATATCCAATTATTGAATGTTTCAAGAATGGTGAATTTTATGTTACTAAACCCAAGGATACTGGTGGACTTGTGACACCAGCAACGGTTGGTGAACAAATGTTGTATGAAATATTAGATCCTGGTGCATATATTTTGCCAGATGTAATTTTGGATTTTAGAAATGTAAAATTGAAGCAAGTAAGCGATAATAAGGTTTTGGTTACTGGTGCAAAAGGTAGAGCACCAACAGAAAACTTGAAAGTTTCAGGAATTTATTTAGATGGATATAAAATGACTGGACAAATAATTATTGGTGGCATTGATGCGTGGAATAAGGTATGAGACTTATTGTTGGTTAGTACTCTCATTCTTATATTATTTTTAAATTCTTAATATTGTTTTAGGCAATAGTTGTTGCAAATGCTATCCTCATGAAGACGCGTGTATTTCTTAGAAAAAAAAAATTGGGTGATTATCGAGATGTTAACGTCGAAGTATTGGGAGCTGAACATACTTATGGGTACGTGGTAAGAATATGTAAGAAATATATCTATATTTTTTTTCGGAACAGCAATTTAATTATGCTAATGATTATTATATATACGATAGAGGCCATGCCAAGACTCGTAATACCCGAGAAGTTGTATTAAATATTACAGTTCATCATGATAAATTAGATGCCTTGAAGTATTTTGGGTTGGAGCTTGCTCCCGTAAGCACAAATCAATTTTCATTCATTTTATTTTTAATAGAATGTAATGGGTCATTTAATCTTGAAATATTATATAGTCGGCTACAAGCATGGCTCCAGGAATTACTGGTAATTTTTCATATCCATATATGATGAACTTTATATACCTTGACTTATTACTTTATTTCCTTTCATAAAGGAGGCGGGGCAGGACGTCCTCATCCATCACCATGTCTTGTACACTTTGCACGTTTGATATCAAAGAATTCAGTTTCGCCAGTTGTTATTGTTGGAAATAAATCAGCTGAAAAGGTAATTTTTGATGGACCTACTCATAATGACAATATAATACCACCGCCGTTACCAGAAATCCCAAATGAAATTGATTACAAAATCGATAATGGACATATGACTAAAGTACCTTTAATAAGATTGGCATGGGGAAGAAGTGGAGACAAAGGTGATACTTGTAATATTGGTAAGTGAATGTTATATAAATATACTGTATACACGTATTATGTTATAATTGTTATAATTTATGATTTTTTAAATTATTATTATTATTTTTTTTATAGGAATCTTGGCACGCGAACCAAAATATTATCCATTTTTGAAAAATTCATTGACCGAAGAGGTAATTTATTTTCATTAATCATATATTTATAAGTATTATTTGATTCATAATATATTTCACAATAGGCTGTCAAAGATTATATGATCCATTTATGTAGAGGTATAGTTAAGAGATACGAATTACCTGGTTGTAATGGATTGAATTTTGTGTTGACTAGATGTCTAGGTAAGTATTATGAATTTTATTATGAATATTATTTATTATTATTATTATTGTAATTTTATTACATTTATACTTATTTGATCAATTTCTCTCTAAATACATTAGGTGGAGGAGGTTTAAGCTCTTTAAATATCGATAAACAAGGAAAAACTTATGCTCAAATGTTATTAAGTTTTGAAGTTGATGTACCATCAAGTTTGTTCGCTAAGCTTTAGATATTTTTATTTATTTATAAATTGCACAGAGTGATAAAGAAAAAACTATTTATATTAAAAATTTGAATTGATTATTTACATTATAATCGAGTTAGAGTTTTTAAAAAAACATCGATTTGGTCATAATAAGCGAACTACGATCGGTTATTTATTTATTCGTATTATAATAATTTTTCACAATAAAAAAATTTTGAGTGATCTATTTCGTTTTAATGTATATATGTTATTTGGCTAAATTTCAGTATTTAGGTAAACATTTGATTATTGTTCTAACGATTTGTTTCAATCTTTAAGCGATTCTTAATATCTATTTCTAATAGCACAAGTACTTAATGCATATACATTGCTTGCAATTCTAGTTTTGCCTAAAGCTTTTTCAAGTCAATTACAGAATTACTTAACGCAATGCATCTTTGGTTGAATTTTTAGTCGTAAAAAGTCAGGATATTACAGAAAATCACGAGTTTAAAGTTCAGAGGTATAAATAATGAATTATGTATCGAAGTACAAAGATTAAAAAATATTTTGATACCAAAAACTTCAGAAAATTCAAATCTACTTTATAAAATCATCTTATAACTGATTTTTATTTTTTCATTTTATTTTTAAATACTATGAGACAATTTCAGCCTCCATCAAAGTCGGGCAATATACGTAGAAAATTTAGCTAATTATACTGAAATAAATCACCAAATCACTAAATCTGGCAGCATCAAATCAGAAAGAGTCTTTTTATTTGCTAGTATGGCATGTTCTATAGTATTTTCGTCACTAAATTAAAAAAAAATTAATACGAGCGGAGATATAAAATAGGTCCTGTTTTCTACTTTTAATACTTACTACTATTATCCATCCCACATTAGATTATAACATCTTTTTTATTTTTCTTGTATAAAATAAAACATATTTATAGCGACATTCTTCTAAAAGTGAACCTTTCTCTGCTACCTTTTCTACCTTTTTCAAGCTCTTCTATACTCAAACCTTTGTTCAGGGACTTATCAAACACCCAGTACTTATTTAAGTTTGAGAGATTTATCAATTTCATTTCTTCGCATTAATATAGGGAAGTATAAATGTAAATTCGAGAAATCTGTCGGCCAATTTTGTAATGGGCTCTTGATTATGTCGACACTGAAAAGAAAATTTATTAATCTAAGTATTATAAAATAAGCTATTCAGATTCATTTTGTCGCGTTAATTTAAGTGAGTATAAAAAAAAGGTGATCGATCATTCATGCACTGAGTGATGACGACCGTACGTACCTAATTCCCTTAATCGTCTGATAATCGCCACGGAGATATTTGTTAAGGAATGTTACGTGCTTCGGTGTTCCTGGTTTCGGATTTGCTCGTCCTGTTGGTTGTATACTCGGGGAGTGCACCCTCAGTCCTAATGTATAAAAACTAGGGCTTTTCAAGTGCCGGCACACGTACTATTAAAACATAGTGCCCATAGCGCTATATTGTTGTAAAGGGCACTAGCAAAGTCTTGAATCTGCAGTAATTCAGACAGTCATACCGCCTTAACCGGTTATGCTAGAGTAGAACGATCATTATTTTTTTTAAATTAACCATTAATGCTACGTATATTGGTTAGTGTTATCATAAAAAGGAGCCTCGCATATTCACCTCGGAGATATCTGTAACATACAATTCGCGAAATTTCAGTATCGTCAAACGTATTTTTCGATTAAAAAAATTAATTTGCGACGTTAAAGTTGAGATAAATTTAGGACGCGATAAAATAAACAATAAATCAATATTATAGGGTTAGGGTAGATTAGAAAGAGCTTTTTTAATACCAAAATTTTGCAGAAGGTGGTTTTATAATCAAAAATTTTGAGCCATGGGCGATTTTTGAGTTTGTTTAGTAGGTAGCAATATATATATATTGCTACCTACTTACATTAGACTGTTACCTACTTATGAGAGTGACGAACAATTCACGCTTGCGTCGTCATTCGAGTGATGAACGATTCATGC